TTTGGAGGCAGAATGTTAAAAAAATAAAAACAAAACAAACGACGATGAGAACAGTGAATGATTGCTATGGAAATGAAGGAACAATAAAGTCTGAGACAATTGATTGACATGTTTCAGACGAAGTATTTACTGTATTTACTGCACCTTCGAAGTGCAAAGTACTTCTACAAGACTGGTAGGATTCCAATCCTGTACTCACCCTGGATGGTGAGCAGATAGACGTAGTCGAGAAGTTCGTGTATCTGGGTAGCTGCATAAGAGCTGGTTATGGCATGAGTGATGATATCGATTCACGTATAGTGAAAGCCAGAGCGGCTTATGCCAATCTGGGCCATCTTTGGCGCCTTCGTGATGTTAGTCTGGCTGTAGAAGGTCGGATCTACAACGTGTCGGTGAGAGCAGTTCTGCTCTATGCTTGTGAAACCTAGTCTCTCCGAGTTGAGGATGTTAGACGACTCTCCGTGTTTGATCATCGTTGTCTCCGAAGGATTGCTGACATCCAGTGGCACACCATGTTAGTAATGCAGAAGTTCGGCATCGTGTGTTCGGGCACAGAGACGATAATGCAATTGGTGTCACCATCTTGAAACACTGACTTCGGTGGCTTGGACATGTTCTCCGAATGTCGTCCCAGAGAATTCCACGTCGTGCATTATTTGCCGACTCTGGGACTGGTTGGAAGAAGCGGAGAGGTGGTCAGTGCATGACATGGTGTCGTGGTATGAAAGAAAGCTGCAAAGGACTGGCTTGTGTTGGTCCTTCATGACTCCCTGGTTGGGGTCTGAGAGATGGTGCTACACAGTGGCTAGAGACGTTATCAGATATGGCTCAGAATAGAAGGCAGTGGTGATCCTGCTGTAACCTTCTTTTACTTACTTCATAAAAAGTGGTTGTGTCTCCTTTACCTGAAAGATTTCTTCTGATTGTACCTCTTCGTCATTGCTCTCTTTTTCTTTTGCGCTCCTTAGCTTTTTTTCTTTTCTATTTCTCTTCGAATTCTCATTGTTTTATGTGGCGCATATATATCGGCGCTCTCTTGTACCAATATTCATGTGTTCAAATAATAAATAAATAAATCTTAGAGTTGACTAAGACATCCTGTAATTTTGTGTTCAGAAATGTTTGATAGTCTCCACTTGTTTTCTCGTTCATTACACTTTTATAGTTAGTAATTTTATATTAAGTAGTGACATGTTCATTTGTGGGATTTCGGTTTCTTTGTGTCAACTCTTCTGTCTTTTGAATATACAGTCAAATAAAAATCTGTATTTGAAGGAGATAGAAATTTCAAATAATTGAATCCAGGATGTATGTTCTATTATATTTGGGACAAAGCTAGATGTACCTTCATCATAGTTGATGTTCATTTCAGGACTTGAACTCTGTAATTTTCACTTCAATCCTTAATCCATTTTGCGACTAAGTCTAGGCAACCACTTATTTAAAATAATTTAAACCGTCACGAATTTAAATGAAGCCATTTATTATCATGATTTTCGTTATTATTATTACTATTCAAAATCATCAGTATAGGGATGTGGAGATTACTAAGTTTTTGCTTGAGATCATGAACCGATTGATGTTAGACCACCATTTAGAACCTGGAAGCACTGGACGACCGTTTTGTCCTATTGTGTGACTCCTGACCAGTGAGCGTCCACGATCTCGTCCCGCGAGATTCGAACCCAGGGTCTATCAGTCTCACGCGCGATCGCTTAACCTCTAGACCACTGAGCCGGCATCCAATGGTGTTAATGTTTAATCTCAAATAATCCACGAAATTGCGCGATCATCTTCCATTGTACTGAGGTAGATACCTGTCTCTACTTGATATGGATTAGCTCCACTGGTCACGGCTTCTCAATAGAATAGAGATTTCCCTCACGAAGCTAGTCACTAGTGAGCATATTGTAATTATTAAGTTTTTGATTGAGAACAAAATTAGCTTATTATACCCGTCTCATTAGTCTGAAATTATCATACTCATCATGAGATAAAAAAGATTTTCAACCCTTTCCATTTTGACTTTTTCGTAAACGGTGTTGAACTGGTTTAGATTAGATTGAAAATATTGTCCGCATATCTACTATTTTTCGATAGTTCTTTAGTCGATCCCACTTTCAGGAACGCTCCTGAATCGCTTTATCCATGAGACATTCTATACCATCTACAAATTTAAAGGTTCAATATTACGAATTGGCTTTAAATTAGACAACCATTAAAAAGTAATAAGCTCTAGACAGTCTTTTGATCTTAGTTTTAGACTTCACAATCATGTGCTCCCCCTAGGACTAGAGAGTTATTCAGTGTTTCCCAGTCTTCAATAATTATCTAAGTATAGTCAGTTCTAAATTTAAACCATAAAATACATTTTTAATTGTTTGTTTGTATCTCCTCACTGATGTTTAGGAATGCAATTGATCAGTTTGTTATTGGCAATATGTGCATCTTGTTCGAATTACCTTGATATTGCCTTAAGTGCCGGAGTGAACATCAATTCTGGGATGCCTGTTGATCCAGTTGAAGAGTCCTAAATAAGATGAAACAAGTATCCTGGATTCCACTGCTAGCTACCATCCATCTTTACACATAAAATACAGTTTCATTTTTTGTCAACTTTGTATTACATCTACATTCCAGGATGGTGATAATCAATCGCTTATTTTACATCCAAATGTAAGTACATCTATGCCGATTTTGAGGTTTTGTTGCACAAAAATCAACATTTCCCCAGAATTAATCAAGTGAAATCGTCCAAATCGAAATTAACGCAGATGGTATTATTAGTAAATCTGTTGACTACTTCCAACCATCATCTTATCTCAACATAGTTCCAGTCTCTTAGACTGATGACCACATTGCAACTTGTTCAATAGGACTCGATCTGTACTAAGAAGGACCTGACATACACGACATTGATCACCATCTAGTGATCAATTTAATTGTAAATACATCTCAGTCCTATAAGAGATCAGTACTGGCCTGGATAGATCAGTGGTAACATCTCTGACTGTGAAGTTAGGTGGCACTGGACTGAATCCATCCGAGAGCATCAAATCCCTCATGAAAACAGGTACACCTTGCTGTTGAGTGTCAAGCAACAGAAAACGTAGGTCCAGTGTTTCCTGTTAAATATCTCTAACCACCATCTTATCTCAACATAGTGCATACAACCTCGAGTCACTTAGACTGCTGACCACATTACAAAATATGTTCGATAGTACTCAATCTACACTAAGAAGGACCTGAAATACATAAAATTGATTCCCACCTAGTGATCAATCAATTGTAAATCTTATTATTATTATTATCAGAATGTGTTTTGTGGAGAATTTTAGAAATTTTCACAGATCGAACTCATGAGTCAGTTGAAGCTAGACCACCATTGAAAACCTGGAAGCACTGGACGGCCGTTTCGTCCTAGTATGGGACTCCTCAGCAGTGCGCATCCACGACCCCGCACCACCCGGGGCTCGAACCCAGGACCTACTGGCTTCGCGCGCGAGCACTTAACCACTAGACCACTGAGCCGGCATCCAACGGTGTTAATGTCTAACTTCAACCAATCCACGAAGTTGCACCACCTTACACCATTGTCTTCAGTGAGTTCCTATCTCACAACAGACCTGGTTGAACTCCACTGGTAACGACTTCTCACTAGAACTCCTGAAGTGTCTCCTGAAATCAGTCACTAGTGAGCAGGTGATTATTATTATCAGAATGGGTTTTGTGGAGAATTTTAGAAATTTTCACAGATTGAACTCATGAGTTCAATCTGTGAAAATTATTACATAATTTGTTTTTATTTTCATTTCCAATGTTTTATCTGTCTATCTCATAACCAATATAACTTCTTATTACAAAAACAAAACAACAACATACAATCACCTATATACATAAGTTATCCCTACTCTATGTTTTGTATATTTGTTTGTTGTATATTGTATGTATGTTGTTCTCATTCAATGTAAACTATTCTACTTCTTTAGTTGAATAAACAGAAGACTAGTACTACTAATAATGTTAGTAGTAGTATTCATCTCGAATAAAATCAAACTTTATTCAAGATGAATAAAGGAAGAAAAAACAATCATTCATTAAGATGTTCATCTTGTATAGTCAATTTATAGATTATTAAGACATAAATATTGAAATCATATGTATATCATGATGTCATAGTAACACACTTAGGCGGATATATATATATATATACAAACCTATAGGGAACTAAATATATGGTGTATATGTGTTTGTACTCACTCATGGTCTAACCGACATAAACTAACCCTTAGCGAATAATACAGTCTATCATTTACTCAATATCCATACTATGTGTAATAATAATAATAATTTTTATCATTACTGTTATTATATTATCTCCGTTTCCCAACGATTAGCTGAAGGAGGGCTGTATTACAGTTGAATGAGCACAGATACAAATAATGTGCATAAGTATATACATATATATATGTCTAACTTTTATATTAGATATGCTTATATAAGACCAATAATATTCTATGTGAATGATATTAAAATTAACTAAATCCAGTTGGTTAAATCTAATTCTTAATCAAAAGAAAATAAGGAAAAAGGAAATCTTTTTCTTTTAGTGACTGATTCAATTCATAGAGTGGGTCAGTATAGAAGATAAAATTATGTTTTACTAATACATATGTGATTTTATTTATTTATTTCTTTTGTCAGTTTGTCAACAAGGTTTAGATACTACACTATACTATACTATACCATACTATACTATACTATACTAACCATACCATACTGTACTATACCACACTGTACTGCACCATACTATACCATACTAACCGTACTATACTATACTCATCATTCAATAATATAACTATACAGACTACATTAAACTTACAAAAGTTCATTTAACATTTCATTACATAATTAATAAAACATTATAATCCTGTAACCAACCAAACAAAAAAAATTGATTAATGAACATTACTTTTCGTTGATTATTCATTATTGGCGATCAATTTGTGTGTGTGCGTGTGCGTGTGCGTGAAAATAAACATAAACATATCGATTATTTATTTATTTTTGTTTATATATGTGTGTGTGTGCAGTTAACAATCATCTTTTGTAGTAGTTGTCGTTGTTGCTTGTGAATTCTTTGGATAAAAATATTACATCATTCAAAGAAATAAAAATCTTTTGAACAAATTGGTAAGTAACTGTACATTTTGAAATTGTTTGATAAAATAGTATAATCTTTCATGTTAAAGACAATGTTGTCCTATGTTACTAGGTTATTTATTGATTTATTTAAATAATGTGTCACACAAGTCACTTGTGTGGGCAGGTTGTTTTCTTAAGAAGTTTAACACTTGGAGCCTTTGACATAAGGGTCTGATCTACAAACCAGTGGAATAACGTAAGAAGATGCAGTCCTATCGTAGCCGGTGACCAATAATTGGTTCATACGTCATTTGTTTCTTGATGATCCTTTTCAATCCCCCTAGGTGGATCATCTATATCCACCAACCCGTTTGAAGCTCCGGACATTCACTTTTCATCCTCCTAATTCCGTAAACAACAGTAATGTTGTGAGAAGGCAGTGAGTATGACTTCTCTGACAGTAGAGAGCTAACTTTCCTCAACCCCGGTTGAACCAGAGCATTTCGAAGCTAGGTTAATTTCAACATTATATTTATGTATGTATTCATATTCACTTTCTTATTGTAATTCTGCCTAGTATATATAATACGATGAATAATACACAAATAACTAACATGAACCAGTAAGTTACTGAATGAATTCATTGCTAATAATTCATTAGTTGACAATGGTTCTTCGTGAAAATATAAAACTAAAAGGTTAGATTCGAGTAGTATGAGAAGTACTATAGACTACCTATCTATCCGAACAACATTTTTTATTGACGCACACACAATCTGATTGGTTATTTTTGTTTGACTATACTATCTAATATTTGCACAAATAATGTGATTGGTCATTTCACAAATCTTAGATTTGATTATACTCCTTTTTATTGGTTCATAGATTTAGTTTTTATTAGTATTTGAAGATTATCAACTAACTTAAATGTATTATTATAGGAGTGTATTGTAACGTTTGATCATTGATTAATGTGAATATATTATTGTCTTCAGTGAGTTATTATATCACAACAGACCGCCTAGTTGAACTCCACTAGTCACAGTTTCTTACTAGAACTGCAGAGAATACTTCTTGAAGACAGTCACAAGTGGGCACATGATGATTATTATCAGAAGGGGGTTTTTGTGACGATTTTAGTAATTTAAAAGTTGAATTCATGAGTCGATCTAAACAGAACCATCATTGAAAACTTAGATTGATTGGATGGCCGTTTCTTCCTAGTATGGAACTTCTCAGCAGTGAGCATCCACGATCTTGCCGTCCAATGCTTCTAGGTTTTCCATGATGATCGAGATTTAATCGACTCATGAATTTAATTATAGTGTGAATATAAATGAAAAATGTGACCAAATGATCCGATATTGTATTTCAATCACATTTATTACAGTCTATTTCATCCAATTTCTTTTTTATTTGTCATTGAATCCATTAGTTTGAATAATATAAACTGAATATATTTTGTTAAATTGTAAGTTGAACTAATTCTCAAAATAATTCATTAGTTCAATGTCAAAATCCAACACTCGTCATCTTTAAATCTGATTGGTTTGTACATAATTTGTAGTTTTGCTGGCATAAACTTCTCTAATTAAAAAAAAGAAAGAAAAACATTATCCTCATCTTAAATTTCAAAATTAGCTAATCTGATTATAGATATTGGTGTTTGACAACAGATGCCTTAGAAATATTGCTCTCGTCTGCTAGAATCATCGGGTAAGTAATAGTGAGGTTCGACGCAGGGTATTAAGGAATAATGGTAAATCAGTTGGTGACGTTGTGAATCTTTAACGACTGAAATGGTTAGGTCACGTGTTGCGTATGCCTGAACACCGATTATCACGACGCGCAATGCCAACTAGTGTTAGAGATGTTTGGAAGAAACCAAAACGTGGCATCAGTCCATAAGGTCACTTAATTCTGGTCTGAGCCATGTTGGTTGGGGTCCGTGTGGCTATCGTAACCAATGGTTTTAGACTGTGTGTGACATGGCTCAGAGTCGTTCACAATGGTGTCGGTGTATACACTCTGTGTCTTCCTTTAAACTAAGAGATTAAAATCGCTTCATATCTTGCTTTCCCCAAACTAATTCTTTCTTCTTATACTATATCCTTATATGCAATCTTTCTTTTATATATTACCACCATTGAAGTAACTAGTTCTATGAATTCGATGCTCATCTTGGGCTAATGCGGTATGGCAACCTTGACCGATGCATATATGTGTCTGGTACTACGTTGTAGCCGAATGACTGACTGACTAATCTTTAACAGAATTTGAGATCACATAAATAAGATAATCAAATCATGTTGTAGTAATCAAGAACACCCAGATGTATTCGAATACAAAATTGTAGAATGTATCAACAAAATCTGAGAACTATAAAATAAATTCTTCATTTGCAAAATATTCATCAATTGTCTTAGACTTCATTGTTCTTTCGTTTCCGCAGCAATCATTCTAATTCCTCATTTACTTTTCTTTCAACTTAACCTTCTACTGCTGGGCATTTCACTGTCGACTAATGATACATACTACTTATATCTGTCGATATCAGTAGCACACACCACAATGTTACTTCTTATAGTCCTTACTATCTAATGAATTTCATATATATAACATCCTTTATACGTTTTTCAACCTACTTATTGTAGAGGTCGATATTTGGCTTTAAACTTCATAGTATTTTGTAAGTATACTGATCATTATTTAAACACAACAACCGCCAATCTCGACACCTGATGTCTGCTGGTTGAATATTAGTTAAGAAAAAAACTAGGTAGGGCAAAATCAAAAAGTGGCATTAATCCATAAGGTCATTAAATGTCGATAAATTCAGACTATTAATTTATGAAGTATCGTAACCGATGATCAGAGATGTTGGGTGACATGGTTCATCATCAGTCATAATGTGTAATGTGTTCACTGCCTTGGCCTAACTATCAGATATTGGACTCATATACTATTCGCTCTTTCTTCTTGAATCATTCTCTCACTGCCTAATATTACTTCACTGTCATTGATAAGACTGTATCTATTACTTTAGCACTTCTCTCTATAGTTTTGCCTAACTGTACCGATGACATAAGTAAGTATTAGGAACTAACCTGGCTTCAATGATGTAATTTGAAATCTGTTGAGTTCATACTAAGATAATTTCTTATTATAAATCATTGGAATTATTTTATATCGAATAGGATCTGTTGGAAACTTTATATTACTGTAAGGGACATACACAATTCTTCACCAATAAATTGAAGAACAGATTCGATATTGAATAAGAAAGAAATTGAAGCCGAACAACGGTGTACATATAACAAAAATACAGATATTTGTGACACACCTCCACCTGAAGCCTGATGAAGATGTGAAGGCGCGAATCAACAAAGCAAGAGCAGCATATCTATAAATGAAGAACATCTAGGACTCAAAACAACTATCAACCAAAACCAATGTCAAAATACTTCGCATCCGTCGGCCAGGCACTATCAGTAACAACCTACTTTGGGAGAGAACAAACCAGATCTCAGAGGAGGAGGAGGTCAGGAAGAAGCGCTGGAAGTGAATAGGACACACATTGAGGTAAGCACCGGACTGTGTCACAAGGAAAACCCTCACCTGGAACCATCAAGGCAAGGTCAAAGGAGAAGAGTAAGAACAAAGAACACATTACGCCGAGAAATGGAGATAGACATGAAAAGAATGGACAACAATTGTATAGGACTACAAAGGGACGTCTAGGATAGAGTGGTTTGGAGAATACTGGTCGGCGGTCTATTCCCTACTGGGAGTAACAGATGTAATTGTAGTGAACACGAACACCAGTGGGCACAATCGAATGCATTTAACACAAAATTACAGGACCTGTTAATAACATCTAACAATCATAAAGTAAATGCTTAATTTGCAAAATGTCCATCAATTGACTCAAAATGACTCAGACTTGATTGTTCTTGCATTTTCATACAAATTGCATTCTATTTCCATTTTTTACTGTTCGATGGTCTTGTCTCTCTGCTTCCAGACCTTGTGTTCATGACTAACATCATATACTACTTATGTCAAAATAAGTAGCACGCAACACAATACCATCTATGAAATTAAAATAAATCCTATAAATGCTCATGGTGATGAATCATGTGTTCTCTAGTGACTAACATTGAGAGGCAACTCCATAATTTTAGTGGGAAACCTTGACCACTGGCGTCCAGCTATTTTGAATGTAAGTCAGTTGCCCATCAACTACATTGGAATATGGTTTCACAACACTACGAATTATTTAAAGTTAAACATACAAACAAATGAATAATGCCTCAGTGATCTAGATGTTAAGCCACTACGATCGAAATCGAAGCTCCTGATTTCAACATTCACTCGTGATGTCATGAACACAGACCACTAAGGAGTTTCAAACTGGAAACAAACACCTATTCATCATCGACTTCTAGTTTTCAAGTGGTTGCTTAACCATAAGCACAAAGAAGTATAATCTATGAAAATTCTGACTGAAAAATCCTTCCATAATAAGTTAACAACCATAAAAGGAGAAAAAGTAGTTTGTATTGGAAATCTGTCTGGATACCTTTTGTGACTACACCTGGACCCAAACCTGGATAAAGGAGGAGGGTTGAGCATGAGGTTAGAGACCCCATCCCACAGAAAACTAACTCGCTAACAAAAAAACGCTTAATTCTATTAATCAATCGCTTATTCCATTCATTTATAAATTAAACATGTGTACGTTTTGGAAAGTATTCGTTGTTGTATTCCACTTTGTATGTTACATGCAACATTACGTCTAGGAAACATTTTACTCATTATTACAATTCAGTAGGTTTATGGAAAGAAACTATATGAAATCAATGCAATTTGTATTGGTTGTTTGAATCTTCTCAATAAGTTCGAGTTCCGGGATACACATCAACTATGAAATGCAAATGTATCTATAGTAACGAATTCGAAATACGAGTAAACGATCATCTTAGATTCCACTACTAACCACTATCCATCTTCACTTATCATGTTTGTGAATGAAGGCAATATCTAGG